GATGCTGCTAACTGAGACACCCACGGTAGCCAAGGTTGGTTTCTGCAAGGAACAAGGAGATTGACTTGGCATCCAGCAGATCTTCTACTGCTCTGAATGCCAGAGGCACCCGATGGCTTCTGCAGCCCCTCAGCGATGGTTCTGATTTCTACTGTCACTGCTTTCCATGCCAATTTACAAACCCTGCTGCTCCTTTTTCCCTTCCTGTGTTTAAAATACAGCCCTTCCCCAGCCTGCAAAATGGCACCTGGGCTTTGAGACTCAAACAGAGCTTTCCCTTGTTGCTTACCAAACCAGGAAGAAAGCTCCTACAGGCAATGTTTTGCCCTCAAATACACTTAGGAAATGCCTTATGCTCCTCCCAGGAGCTGTTTGTTCAACTCCTAACCTGGGCCTGGTGAACAGCAATGTTGCTTATATATAAGAAAGAGCAGAGTTATTCTACTCCTGCAGCTGCATGTTCATGCTGAAGGTATTCGAAAGCACATTTTGTCAGTGCCTCTGCCTGAATACGCAGCAGACAGAGCTGCTCAGCTAGAAGGTGCCATTTCTGGTCTCTCCATATCTCAGAGCACATCACACCATGAGACTGACATATCACTGCTTTGTATCTTATCTGCCTACTCTACAGTCAATGGAAAACTCTGCATGCAACTCTGAGTACTGCTCTGCTGTCTGTGCTTGCCAAGTGTCTCTGCATTTCGAAGCACAAGCTCTGCCCACGATACCAAGGAAACTGACTTCCCCCACTATAAGACTCCCACATGAGATCCCACCCTGTAAGACACAGAGCAAAGAATGCATCCAAATGGTTGTGCGAAGGGCAGGTGAAATAGTCTTCTCCACTGGTCTTGCACCAGTTACCTGACACTCGACGCCAAGCCCAAGGACCACCTTGCCAGGAAACTGAGGGGGCACCGTGAGAAAGACAAAGGGAGCTGCTGGTATAGCGGGTGTTCAGGAGGTTTGTCCATCCTTCCCCTACATACGTTTCACTTGGCGCTTGTACACTAGGCTTCAAAAAGAAACTCTTTTGAGGTATGCCTCCTGTATCCTGACTGTGCTATCCTGCTGCCATGTTGCGCCTTCACCAGTGTTGCTAAAAAAAACAGGAGAAAGTTTTAAAAGAAGGAGGGCACCTGAGCTCAGAGCATTCGCTCTGAGGCAGGAGATTCTCTCCCCACCACCATGTGTCCCCAGGAACCTGCCAGTTATCACCGTGTTCCCTGGATCACATGGACTGAGGGATGTTCGGCCATGGCCACGTTCTCAGATTAGTCTGCGGATTAGGGCTCAACATCAGTTACCACAGCTCACCAAGTTTCCATGAGTCAGCTGAACTGAGGTTTCTGCCCATGTGTGCACTTCAGCCCACAGGAAACGCAAGGTAATGCGACTTAGCCTCGTCTGCGGTGAAAGAAAATTAAGCTAAGCTGCATTATTGCACGTTTGCCATCAGTGAACAGAGCACATGCTGAGAAGTGCTGGGGCTCAGCCCCCAGGGGCAGTTATTAAACCATGGGGACTTGGTCATGTGTGACCATTTCTTGTGCTGGTGTGCAATACTTCTGCACATAGACCTCATCCAGCCACAGAAGTTACACACTACTGTTCTAAGCAGCAGTGTCTAGAAAATGTGGAGGTCATGCTTTATGACAGAGGACAACAAAGGACAAAATGCCCCAGCAATATATAAATGAGATAAAAATCCTACAAGCTCCTAAGGAGCCTGTACAGCCCCATGTACCTCAGGAACGTCCACTGCTGTGAACTCACAGGGCTTCAAATAATCTGGAAACACAGACCTTTCTTCAAGTCCCTCTCAAACCATAAGTGCTACAAAAACACGTGTGTGCTGGTTTTGCAAGCATTGTGTTCCCTTTTCCCCTCCCAAAGCACCCTAAACCAAGTCAGGCTGCTGCACATCGTACAAGCCATAGTCCTCACTTCACATCTTCTGGCCCAGAGTTTGGCAAGCTGACTGGGAATGCTGAATAAATGGGACTGGCATTTTCTACGGATTCAGTCTACATGCAGGATGTACTCATTTAATCCTTTGGACAACACATGAATGAACGTTACCTCTTTTACATGCATTAATACTGGAGAATGCATCTACAAAACTGAGAGGTGATGTGAAACAGTATGTGCTGCCTGCCATCATTCCTGTATGGAAATACTGCTAACTGATTGCTTAAAGTGTCTGACTTGCTGTGCTGTTTTCTACAGGATAGGAAATTTTGTCTTTACGTTTATGACAGCGGTTATGATTGCAAATGGGAATGACAGCAAAGCAGAAAATTCTAATCAAGGTGGAGCACACTACTGCTGTCCTGCTGACTGAGGTCTGCAGATGCTCCTATCGCAACTCCAGCTATCGATCACTTTTAAAGTACATGCAGAGGCAGAGAAATAAAGGGATAGCTAATAATGTAAACATCAGTGGTAGTTAGGTAAAAGAATAACCTCAGTTCACTCTGTAAATGTTTACACAATAGTCTTATCTCCAGCTACATCCTCTGCAGCTGTAGGCTAGTTCTTATTCTTCCAGATTTTGTGAACTGGGAGAAGAATTACATCTCCACTGGCCTGGGGTTATATCACAGGTTTTGTTTTCAAACCTGTGTTGTACAGTATTAACAAGTGAAGCAAACCTGTCCCTAAAGCTCCAAAACTACTGAGCAAAAACAAATGGAGAGATTAGATTCTGTGTGAGAAATATAAAATAAAAAGAGATGGAACGCAGTCACTTAAATAAAAGGTAAGGGTTTAAAAGTTTCAGTCACATGCAGCTGCTTTCACAACATTAAGAAGAAGATGGAACTGTAAAAGGTATCTCAGTTCACCTTGAGTAAATGCCATGTTCTGCACGTCTGGGCTGCTTTGGATGTGGGTGCCTGCACTGAGCC